CCTATGAGGGCAGCCATAATGCTGATGCGGCCTGCGATGAAGTTGAGTTTGACACCCCTGATGTACACTGGTAACCAAACAGCAGGTGGCGCTCTCGGTTCCTTTTCCACTTTATTTTGGTCACCTCCTGCTGTAGAGAGATTGTTGTTTGCAGAGCTCAATAGCTCAGATTGGTCTCATGTATTAGTGGGAGTCCCCGAGGTCGATCGACTGCAGCGGGTAGTTTATTAGCTAACCCATCGTGCTCTGGGAATCCTTTTTCATTTAGTTCTCTTTGTAATACAAAGCTTTATGCACAGAGCCCTTCTCAAACACGGGTTTTAAAAGATCAGATTATGAACTTCAAAAAAAAAACCAAAAGAACAGAAAATTGTGGTAAAGCTATCAACCAGAGCAGCTTCGTGTAATAAGTGAAGACTTTTGTTCCGGGGATGGCGGGCGGATGGCGGGTGAATGGCGGGCCAGTCTCGGCATTGGTGCCAACGCTCAGAAATGTCCCCTAAAGAGCCCCGCGGGAATTCTGAACTTGTCGTGTAACAGAAGGAGAACAGAGAAGTCATTCTGTGCGGCTTCATCGTTTTCCACCCCGCTTCCTCCGAGTATCATGGTGATGTGACTGGAAAGAGGGACGTCTTGTCTGAGCCGCCTTCATCTCCTCCAGGGACCGACTGGAGAATCGTACAAAGAGACAAACATTTCCGCATCGCGGCACAAGACAGACACCTCCGAAGGCAACCTGGAGGATGAAACATCGTCTGAATACATTGAGGATTGCGGAAAGTTTTATATTAGTAACATTAGTCCTCAGAAAGTCCTGGATGTCACATTGTCAGCAGGAGGACAGATCTGTAGGCCATGTCTGGCCCGTGCCGCCGAACCCCCACCTACTGACAGAGCTTCAGGGTCACCCGTTGGCATGTGCCGCCGAACCCCCACCTACAGACACAGCTTCAGGGTCACCCATTGCCCATGCCACCGAACCCCCACCTACAGACACAGCTTCAGGGTCTCCCGTTGGCCCATGCCACCAAACTCCCACCTACAGACACAGCTTCAGGGTCACCCATTGGCCCATGCCACCGAACCCCCACCTACAGACACAGCTTCAGGGTCACCCCGTTGGCATGTGCCGCCGAACCCCCACCTACAGACACAGCTTCAGGGTCACCCGTTGGCATATGCTGCCGAACCCCCACCTACTGACACAGCTTCAGGGTCACCCGTTGGCACGTGCTGCCGAACCCCCACCTACAGACACAGCTTCAGGGTCACGCGTTGGCATGTGCTGCCGAACCCCCACCTACAGACACAGCTTCAGGGTCACGCGTTGGCACGTGCTGCCGAACCCCCACCTACTTACATCTTCAGGGTCACCTGTTGGCACGTGCTGCCGAACCCCCACCTACTTACATCTTCAGGGTCACCTGTTGGCACGTGCTGCCAAACCCCACCTACTGACAGAGCTTCAGGGTCACCCGATGGCACGTGCTGCCAAACCCCCACCTACTGACAGAGCTTCAGGGTCACCCATTGGCCCATGCCACCAAACCCCCACCTACAGACACAGCTTCAGGGTCACCCGTTGGCATGTGCTGCCGAACCCCCACCTACAGACACAGCTTCAGGATCACCCGTTGGCATGTGCCGCCGAACCCCCACCTACAGACACAGCTTCAGGGTCACCCGTTGGCATATGCTGCCGAACCCCCACCTACTGACACAGCTTCAGGGTCACCCGTTGGCACGTGCTGCCGAACCCCCACCTACAGACACAGCTTCAGGGTCACGCGTTGGCATGTGCTGCCGAACCCCCCACCTACAGACACAGCTTCAGGGTCACGCGTTGGCACGTGCTGCCGAACCCCCACCTACTTACATCTTCAGGGTCACCTGTTGGCACGTGCTGCCGAACCCCCACCTACTTACATCTTCAGGGTCACCTGTTGGCACGTGCTGCCAAACCCCCACCTACTGACAGAGCTTCAGGGTCACCCGATGGCACGTGCTGCCAAACCCCCACCTACTGACAGAGCTTCAGGGTCACCCATTGGCCCATGCCACCAAACCCCCACCTACAGACACAGCTTCAGGGTCACCCGTTGGCATGTGCTGCCGAACCCCCACCTACTGACAGAGCTTCAGGGTCACCTGTTGGCACGTGCTGCCGAACCCCCACCTACAGACAGAGCTTCAGGGTCACCCGTGGCACGTGCTGCTGAACCCCCACCTACAGACACAGCTTCAGGGTCACCCGTTGGCACGTGCCGTTGAACCCCCACCCACAGATACAGCTTTAGGGTCACCTGTTGGCACGTACTGCTGAGCCTCCACTTACAGACAGTTTAAGGGTCACCTGTTGGCACACATGCCCGCGCTGAGCCCCCACCTACAGACAGAGCTTTAGGGTCACCTGTTGACATGTGCCGCTGAGCCCCCACCTACAGACAGAGCTTCAGGGTCACCCGTTGGCATGTGCTGCCGTTGACCCCCACCTACAGACACAGCTTCAGGGTCACCTGTTGACATGTGTCGCTGAGCCCCCACCTACAGACATCTTCAAGGTCACCCGTTGGTCCGCGGTACTTACGCCCACACCGTCTTCATGTGCCCGAGGTCACTTTCAGCCATCCTCCTGGTCACAGTTCCTATTAAAGTGATATTAATCCCAAAGGCGACCATTTATTATTTCTCAGCTTTCCCTTTACGAGGGCCGTTCAGGTCACACCGGAACATTGGAGTTTGTATAGTAAAAGAACAGATTTCAAGGAGTGGAAACTGCGTTTATTTTTCGGCATCCTCCCCTGCTACATTGCTACACTTCTCCCAGTGTGTAACCAATCCCTGGAAAGCTTCAGCAAAGGAAGATTTGTCAGGACTCCTGAACCCTCCTAGGACAGCCGACTTCACGTCCTCATCATTGTGTTCACCGTTCCCACAGAAAGATCCGTCTCTTGTGCGATTTCACCATCGATGATCCAGAATCAGAATTTCCCAGGAGTGACTGCTGTGGGCTGGGAAACGCCATGGCCGGGATCGCCACTGACGAACCGACCGCCATCTTGAAAATGTTTCCACCATTCAGATGTCTTACCGCGACTGAGCGTCTCATCGCCGTACTGCTCTTGAAGCTTTCTGCGAGTTCTACGCCTTCGTTCACAAGCAACGTCATCACCACGCGCCGTTCCACACACGCACTATCACTGGTGTCCGCCATCTTGGAAAAGTTTCCACCATTCAGATGTCTTACCGCGACTGAGCGTCTCATCGCCGTACTGCTCTTGAAGCTTTCTGCGAGTTCTACGCCTTCGTTCACAAGCAACGTCATCACCACGCGCCGTTCCACGCACGCACTATCACTGGTGTCCGCCATCTTGGAAAAGTTTCCACCATTCAGATGTCTTACCCTTACTGCATCTTATTGCCTTACTGCCTTCTTCACAAGTCTTCTGTAGATATCGGCAAGTTTTACGCCTTCGTTCACATTGCAAGCGTCATCACCACACGCCGTTCCAAGAAACGTCATCACCAACACGCGTTCCACGCACGCACTATCACTGGTGTCCGCCATCTTGGTTAACTGCCTCTGCATGGGCCCGCCACATGTGCGCCCCCTATCAGTAATAGGACTCACTGCCTGTAGTGCCGCCACGCCGGCATCCCTTTTTATACCTGAAAAATGAAAGCCCCTCGTAGAGGTGATGTCTGCATTACTTTTCCTTTTTTTAACCACAGCGCCACTTAGGACGTTCTGGCGACATGTACAACCGCAGGTGAAGTGATAACACATCGATTTTAATGGGCGCTGTCTTAATTGGTACAACTTGAGTGGCTGTGATAAAAAAAAACAAAGACTTCTGGGCGATTCTTGAGCTGCACGACTCCCATAGACTTCAATGTAAAATTGCCAGCAAGCCGTATGTTTGTCTTAATTGCAGCGACTTTGCTGAGACTTCGGGGCAGTGTTTTGTTTTTAACCCTCACCTCTCCTCCCTGGTCATCCTTGCTGCCTAAAAACCTCCTCCCTAGCTCATCCCATTCACACCTGAGCATAGAAACGCGTGTCCATGTTTTTCTCGGTTAAACACGCAATATGCATTCACTTGAATGGGCTGCCCTATGCGCAACACACACCCCATAGTAGCTCAAGAACCTTTTCGGTTGTGGATCGTTGTTCATTTTGTCAGCTAAACACAGATTAGGGTGTCATTAACAATTAGCCTGCATGCTTCCAAACGCATGGCAACCCGTGTATCGGAAGCATGCGGCAGAAGAGCTTCTCGCATGTGGTGCCATTTAGGCAGCATGTAACCCACACAGAAAATGTATGTTTTGCCTCGCGCTTAGAAAATGTGCACCAAACACGCATTGCGCTCACAGTGCCAGTGTTTGCATCTCACCCCAAACTGGCTCCTCCATGTCTTTATGGACCTTGCTTTGTGCACTGGTGGGCAGTCATGTTGGAACAGGAAGGGGCCATCCCCAAACTCCTCCCACAAAGTTGGGAGCATGAAATTGTCCAAAATGTCACCTTAAGAGTTCCCTTCACTGTAACTAGGAGGCCAAGCCCAACCTCTGAGGAACACCCCACACCATAATCCCCCCTCCACCAAACTTTGCACTTGGCACAATGCAGTCAGGCAAGTACCGTTCTCCTGGCCACCGCCAAACCCAGACACGTCCATCAGATTGCCAGACAGAGAAGCGTGATTGGTCACTCCAGAGAACACGTCTCCACTGCTCTAGAGTCCAGTGGCGGCGTGCTTTACACCACGGCATCTGATGCTTTGCATTGCACTTGGTGATGGAAGGCTTGGATGCAGCTGCTCGGCCATGGAAACCCATTCCATGAAGCTCTCTACGCACTGTTGTTGGGCTCATCTGAAGGCCACACCAAGTTTGGAGGTCTTTAGCTATTGACTCTGCAGGCAGTTGGCGACTTCTGCGCACTGTGCGCTTCAGCATGCGCTGACCCCGCCCTGTCATGTGACGTGGCCTACCACTTGGTGGCTGTTGTTCCCAGTTGCTTCCACTTTGTTATAATCCCACTAACAGTTGAGCGTGGAATATTTAGTAGCCAGGAAATGTCACGGATGGACTTATTGCCCAGGTGGCCACCTATCACGGGACCACGCTTGGAGTCACTGAGCTCCTGAGAGCGACCCATTCTTTCACCAATGTTTGTAGAAGCAGTCTGCATGCCTAGGGGCTTGATTGTATACACCTGTGTCCATGGAGGGGATTGGAGCACCTGAATCACATGATATGGAGTGGATTGGAGCACCTGAATCACATGATTGGGAAGGGATTGGAACACCAGAATCACATGATTGGGAGGGGATTGGAACACCTGAATCACATGATTGGGAGGGGATTGGAACACCTGAATCACATGATTGGGAGGGGATTGGAGCACCTGAATCACATGATTGGGAGGGCGGGGCCAATTCTTTGGGCAATATAGTGTAGATAGCCTATTTTTGTCTTTGGTTCAGTTGTATTTCCAGGTTTGCTGTGTATTTTGGTGTGTGGATGTTTTTGTTTCATTGTTAATGCAGGCTTGCTCCAGCCTGGTCCCAGTTTCCTGAATGTAGCCACCCAGATCTGCCCGTCCCTGCTGCTTATTCCTGGCAATAGCTTTATTCCTGGGCTGCAGCGCACCAATGCAGTCACTGGAGATGAAAATTTTTTCAGAAGGCCGGTTGTTACTGGATCTCTTGAAGCCTGAATCCCTCCCCCCACGAACACCACCGCCACCTTCGGTACTTCCACAGAGTGCCTTTGCTACTTCTGAAGCATTTTGTCAGGATTCCGTCCTCTGCGTCTCCATCGGCGCGTGCGATTACACAAATTAAAACACCAAAAATGGTTTTTAAGCAAACAGGTCCATCCGTCTTCTGGGCAGAAAGTTCATCAACGCTGAATTGGTTGGCATTATTGTGTGCCAGCTGGCGGCGGCGGGGGGCTGACTCTGACAAACCGACCTCATTACACCGCAGGAAGTCGCTCCATCGGGGATTCATAATCAGCTTAGAGACCGCGCCAACTCCTTCCTGCACCGCGGCCTCTGACCAGGCCAGGACTGGGACAAAAAATAGGCCCGGGCATTTTGGGCTGAGTAGCCCCAAGTCCGGACCCTATCCTTGGAGCCCAGTGGTGGAACGCCTTGGCCCAGTCACAAGAGCGACCTTTGTGACCCACGTAGTTCCGCCACGAGTGCCAGTAGGTTTTTATTGTTATTTGATTTTTTACAATTTTATATTTAAATTTTTTTACATTTTTTTCTAGGAAAGAAATAAGAAAGGAAGGAAGGAGAGACAGAAGGAGGAAAGAAGGAAGGAGGAGAGAAGGAAGGAGGAGAGAAGGAAGGAGGAGAGAAGGAAGGAGGGAGAGAAGGAAGAAGGAGAGAAGGAAGGAGGAGAGAAGGAAGGAGGGAAAGAAGGAAGGAGGGAAAGAAGGAAGGAAGGAAAGATGAAGGAGGGGAAAGAAGAAGAAGGAGGGGAAGAAGGGAAAGAAGGAAGAAGGGAAAGAAGGAAGAAGGGAAAGAAGGAAGGAGGAGAGAAGAAAGGAGGGAAAGAAGGAAGAAGGAGAGAAGGAAGGAGGAGAGAAGGAAGGAGGAAGAGAAGAGAGAAGGAAGGAGAGAAGAAGAAGGAAGGAGGGAAAGAAGGAAGGAGGAGAGAAGAAAGGAGGGAAAGAAGGAAGGAGGGAAAGAAGGAAGGAGGGAAAAGGAAGGAAGGAGGGAAAAGAAGGAGAGGAAGGAAAGATGGAAGGAGGGAAAGAAGGAGAGTGGAGAGAGGGAAAGAAGGAAGAAGGGAAAGAAGGAAGGAGATGAGAGAAGAAAGGAGGGAAAGAAGGAAGAAGGAAGAAGGAAGGAGAAGAGAGAAGAAGGAGGAGTGTGCCGAGAAGAAGGAGGGAAAGAAGGAAAGGAGGAGAGAAGAAAGGAGGGAAAGAAGGAAGAAGGAGGAGAGAGAAAGGAGGGAGAGGAAGAAGGAAGGAAAGGAAGGAGGAGAGAAGGAAGGAGGGAAAGAAGGAAGGAGGAGAGAAGGAAGGAGGAAAAGAAGGAAGGAGGAGAGAAGGAAGGAGGGAAAGAAGGAAGGAGGAGAGAAGGAAGGAGGGAAAAGAAAGGAAGGAAGGAGGAGAGAAGGAAGGAGGGAAAGATGGAAGGAGGAGAGAAGGAAGGAGGGAAGAAAGAGGTTCTGAAAGAAGGAAGGAGGGAACGAAGGTAGGAGTAGAGAAGGAAGCAGGAGAGAAAGAAGGAGGAAAACAGGAAACAGAGAGAAAGAAGGAAAGAAGGGGGGACAGAAGACACAAGGCTGGCAGGGAGTGTGGGCGGGGCAGGCACAGGATGAGAGGGCGGGAGGAGGAGGGGCAGCTTTCTCTCTCCTCCCCCGTTTGTGGTGGGCAGGGAACTGTCAGCACTGGGGACAGGTTATCCTGACCCAGCAGCAGGACTGCAGGAGATGGGGGGGCAGCCGCGGGGGGAGCCCAGGGCATGCCGGAGATGGATAGGAGGGGCAGCCGGGGTGGCACATAGAGGAACCAAGAGATGAACTATCCGGTTCCTCTATATGCCGCCCCTCCTATCCAGGTTTTCCCCGGCCCACCGGGCAAATGCCCAGTGTTCCCGATGGCCAGTCTGGGCCTGCCTCTGACCCACTTATATATATGAGCTGGCGGCTTCCCTATTAAGCCCCATCTCAGCCAATAATGTCGCCTGAGCCTTCCATATGGAAGATCATTCCTATACAGCTCAGCTACATGTCCTTGATAAAAAAAAAACAAATTGCAATAATTCTATATTGATTGGTTAATGTGAAAGATATAACGTCTGCAAACTATGGGGTATATACTGGGATTTATGCAGCTATGACGTTATACTGTAATGGCGGTGATTGGTGACTCATAGTGTGACTGTGATAGTGTGGCGGGCAATCTGGTGCTAGTAGACACTCTCTGGGAGGGACGCTAACTGACACTGACACCTAATACAGTGATCAGTGATAATACTGTACAATGACACTGTACTAATGACACTGGCAGGAAGGGGTTAACATCTAGGAGCGACCAAGGGGTTAACTGTGTGCCTAACAAGTGTATTGTGTGCTGCTTTTACTTTCCAGGATCTGCCTCTATCCCTCTGTCCTCTGCCCTCCAGGATCTGTCTATCCCTCTGTCCATCCTCTGCCCTCCAGATCTGCCTCTATCCCGCTGTCCCCCGCTGTCCATCCTCTGCCCTCCAGATCCTCTGCTGTCCTCCAGGATCTGCCTCTATCCCTCTGTCCATCCTCTGTCCTCCACGATCTGCCTCTATCCCGCTGTTTATCCTCTGTCCTCCAGGATCCGCCTCTATCCCGCTGTCCATCCTCTGTCCTCTAGGATCCGCCTCTCCGCCTCTATCCCTCATGTCCCAGGATCCGCTCTGTCCATCTCTGTTCTCCAGAATATGTCCCTATCCTGCTGTCAATCCTCTGTCCTCCAGAATCTGTGTCTATCCTGCTTTCCATCATCTGGGATCTGCCTCTATCCCGTTCTCCATCCTCTGTCATCTGGCAAAAGCTTCTCTCCCAATCTCCATCCTCTATGCCCTGGGTTCTGCCTCTACTCCACTCTCCATCCTCCCTCCTCTGGGTCATGTCTCCATCCTGCATACTCTGTCCTCTGTAATCTGCTTCTATCCCACTCTCCTTTTTGCATCCTCTGGAATCTGCCTCTATCCTGCTCATTATATTCTGGGATCTGCCTCTATCCTGTTCTCCATCTCCCGTCCTCCGGAATATGCCTCTATCCTGCTCACCATCTTCTGGAAACTGCCTCTATCCCATTCTCCATACTCCATTTTCAGAGATCTGCCTGCATCCCGAACTCTATACTCCATCTTCCAGGATCACCTTCTATCCCACTCTCCATTCTCCATCCTCTGGGATCTGCCTCTATCTCGTTCCCCATCCTCCATGATCACCATCTGTTCTGCTCCCCATCCTCTGTCCTACACGATCTACCTCAATCTACTTCCTGTCCTTGAGGATCTGCACCTGTCCTGCTTTCCATCCTCTATTCTCCAGGATCTAGCTCCATCCTACTTTCGTTCCTCTGTCCACCAGGATCTTCCTCCATTCTGCCCTACATTTTGCATCCTCCTGGAATTGCCTCTAACCTGGATCTGCTCCTATCCCACTATCCATCCTTCTTCCCCTGGGAACTGCCTCATCCCCCTTTCCATCCTCCAATCTCTGTCCTCGGGGATTGGCTTCTGTCCCTCTCTCCTTCCTCTGTCCTCCAGGATCTTCCTCCATTCCGCCCTCCATTCTCCAGGAACTGCCCCATACCATTCTCCATCCTCTGTCCCCCAAGATCTTCCTCTATTCCGTCCTCCATTTCCCAGGATCTGCCCCATCCCACTCTTCATCCTCTGTCCCCCAAGATCTTCCTCCATTCCGCCCTCCATTCTTCAGGATTTGCCCCTATCCCACTCTACATCCTCTGTCCCCCGGGTCTTTCTTCATTATGCCCTCTATTTTCCAGGATCTGCCCCTATCCCACTCTTCCTCCTCTGTCCCCAAGAATCTTCCTCCATTTCACCCTCCATTCTCCAGGATCTGCCCCTATCCCATTCTCCATCCTCTGTCCCCCAGGATCTTCCTCTATTCTGCCCTCCATTCTCCAGGAACTGCCCCTGTCCCACTCTCCATCCTCTGTCCCCAGGATCTTTTTGCATTCCCACTCTCCATTCTCCAGGATCTTTTTTGCATTCCCCATCCCAATCTCCATCCTCTGTCCCCCAGGATCTTCCTTCATTTCACCCTCCATTCTCCAGGATCTGCCCCTATCCCACTCTCCATCATCTGTCCCCCAGGCTCTTCCTTCATCTGTCCCCATTCTTCAGGACTCTGCCCCTATCCCATTCCATCCTCTGTCCCCCCTTCCTTTCATTCTCCCTCCATTCTCAGGATCTGCCCCTATCCCATTCTCCATCCTCTGTCTTCCTCTATTCTGCCCCTCCATTCTCCAGGAACTGCCCCTGTCCCACTCTCCATCCTTTGTCCCCCAAGCTCTTCCTTCAATCTGCCCTCCATTCTCCAGGATCTGCCCCTATCCCAATCTCCATCCTCTGTCCCCCAAGATCTTCCTACATTCTGCCCTCCATTCTCCAGGATCTGCCCCTATCCCACTCTCCATTATCTGTCCCCCAGGATCATTATCCATCTTCTGAAATCTGCCTCTATCTCACGCTTCATCCTCCATCCTCTGGGATCTGCCTCGATCCCGCCCTCCATCCTCCGGGATCTGCCGCAATCCCTGTATCTATAAATGAACACTTTACACTCTACACTTTGATATGTAAAATCTTTTCTTTAGAGATTTTTGGGCCCAAGACTGAAT